CCCCCCCCGCCCCATAACACTGTTTCTATGGGGAAACATGATCCACTTTATGACAACAGATTTATGATATAGTTCCTGGAACACATAGTGTCAAAAGGCAGTGTCTGCTTTTGCCAAATGTTTACTAAATACCTTTCCTCAGATAGAAAAAGATACTCCAAAAAAGCAGTAAATTAGTTTTCTATGTCTCTCTTTACCTGGGATCTCCGGTCTTCACATTCCTCCTAGAACAGCTGGCATTTAGATGTGCTTTATTTTTAAACGACAGCCCTAATATCTTGCTTTGCCGTTGTCCTTTTAATTGCATATTTTCATGCATCTCGGCAGTAGAAGACCAGCGCAATACCAGAGTTGGAAGAGAACTTATTTTCTGCCCCCTTTTGTCTTTCTAAGCATTAACCCAGGGAAGGGGTTCTGAAAAGTTTCCTTGGGGCTCACCTGAAGGTATCATGGGAGACAGCCGCCTTGCTCTTATGTACATAACAGACTGTCTGTCCTGCTATGTCCATTTGGCTGAAGCTTGCAATGGGGACTCCAGGATAGCGGACATATTCGACCTGGCCATACCGCGGAGCGGAAGTGATGACGTAGAGCAGTTCCTCGGGTTTGTCTGTTCCATCCACTGCAAGGAGAGTGGTGGTCGTCAAGAAACCTCGCTCACCTTTAGACACCACAAGCGGTTTTGCAAGGATGACAATGTCGCCTGCAGAGCAGAAGAGCTTGCGGTCAAGACCCAAATTAAAAAAAAAAAAAAAAAAAAAAAAAAAAAAAAAAAAAAGTCCAAGGTAAAGGTAAAAAGCAAAGGCCAAATGGCAGAAATCAAAACTAATATGGCATAGAAAGGTTTATATAATCATGAGTAATGAAAGAATGAGGCAAAAGACAAGAGCAGATAGGACACAGCAGGGGAAACACATATGGCCAAATAAAGATGCAAAGAAGAAGGTCGGTCTCATAAATAATTGTGGAAATACAAATCAAGATCACAGTAAGTTACAACCATCTCGTAACTCCTTGATTTGCAAACGTTTAGGATTCTGATGATACCAAGCGTTGAAGAGGATGTACAATCTTGCACACGATTCTGGTAGGAATGTAAACTGGCACACGTTTGGCATTATTTTGTAAAGAGTAGAATAGTCACAGACGTCTTGACCCCCTGATTCCACTCCAGCTGTGTCCTGGAGAGAAATGCGCGCTCTGGCACCCAGGAGACGTGGACCAGGCCAGCCAGGGCAACCCTGCCGCAATGGAAAGTGCTGGGGACAACCCAAATGCCTTTGCAAAAGGTAAATCTGTAAACAAATCAGAGTCTAATCAGACAGCTGAATCGTGTACAGTAGCAAAATGAGTGAACTACCGCTACGTGCAACAGCACAGACGTAGCTTGCTGACGATGGTTAGCTGCCTGAGCACGTCCCAGAAAACCATACACAAAAGTCAGAATATAGACACAGAATTCAGGAGGACGGTTCTCTCTGGAGGGTGGGAAGAGCACATAGGTAGGTGTTTATTACTGTTAATGTTCCAGTCCTTGAATTGTATGGCGGTTGCCCAGGAGCGTATTATGTATTTCAAAGAGAATAAATGAATGAGCGAACGAATTGTATAAATGAGTGACGTAGAAGAGGGTCACATGGGGACTAATGGTGCTGCTTTACAAACTAAGGATTATAATCCAGTTTGGTTCACCTCATTCATTTAAAAAATGATCACAACACAGATATGGAGCTTTCTACTTTGTGCCAGGCACAGGGGTAAGGCTTTTTCACCTTCACATCAACTGCGACGTAGCATATTATAATATTCCCCAGGTTCTAAATGAGGAAACTAAGGTATAGAAATGCTAACCAACTTGCTAACAATGATACATGTAATAAGAGGTAGAGACAGAATTTATGCTCGAGCCATTTGACTCAAGAACACAAACTTGAACCCTAGATTATTTTGCTGCTTTTCTGTACGATATCGCAGCTCTTAAATATCAGCACGAAAAGAATGAATGTCCAAAAGGATGTACGTGTGAAGTAAATGCCAAGCCACTTCCACATTTAAAAACACAATTGTCAATAACATTTGAAAAGACATTCAGTCCCATGAGGAAACAAAAAAAAAAAAAAAAAAATATCAAGGAGGTACAACTAGACCAGTGGTTCTCAATGAGTGTCAGTTTAGGCCTCCAGGGGACATTTGGCAATGTCTAGAGACAGTTGTGGTGGTTATAACTGGGGGTTCCTATGGGCTTCTAATAGGTAGACGCCAGAGATGCTTCTAAACTTCCTATAATGCCCAAGAAGGTCCATTACAATAAAGAATTATCTATCCCCAAATGTCAATAGCGCTAAGACTGAGAAACTCTGTTTCAGATGATAAAATTGGTCTTTTGGTATATTATTGTGCTTTTAACTCAAAGTGCTATCCAGCATAAGTGCAATGGAGAAAGAAAACCCATCCTTACTGTAAATCGAAACCTGAGTCCCAGATGAGGCTTGCCCCATGGGGGTCAAGAAGAACATACCAAGGGAGCAGAAGAATGAACAAAGCTGAGGACACAAAAATGACCCAAGGAGTAGAAGCGGAAGGTGGATCTGAAGGGAGAAAGAGCATCTGGGCTTTTCTCATTACAGGTTTTCAGCACTGTGATGGCAGAGTGTGGTTTGGGGCCAACTACAGACCATGTCCCTTTAAGTTTCTCTCAGAGATCTCCACATCACTTTTGCCAGTGTGTGAACCACAAGACACAGAACCAATGGAAGCCCTACGTTATTTACAATCGCTCCCCAGTGGAGATAACCCAAATGCTCAATATCAGATTTATGGCTTCGTGTGATTATTCAGTGTAGTTTTCTTTAGAGATGAACAATTACGGTCAAAAGTTATGCTAACAACTTGAGAAAACTCACACTAGGTAAAAATAAATAAATAAATAAATAAATAAATAAATAAATAAATAAATAAAATAAGAATACAATACTGTGTAGATATAAAACATATCATGATGTTAAAAAAAAAAAAACAAAGAGAAGAAATTCGGAACTTTGGCAAATGCTGATAGGGTAATGTATCTGTTTGATATAAGTGTTCACAAATCCTTTTAGAAAATAATCCCGGGGCACCTGGGTGGCTCAGTCAGTTAAACGTCCAACTTCAGCTCAGGTCATGATCTCGTGGTTTGTGGGTTCAAGCCCCACATCAGGTTCTGTGCTGACAGCTCAGAGCATGGAGCCTGCTTCAGATTTTTGTGTCTCTCCATCTCTCGGCCCCTCCCCTGTTCATGCTCTGTGTCTCTCTGTCTCTCAACAATAAACAAATGTTAAAAAAAATTTTTTTTTTTTTTTAAAAAGAAGAAAGAAAATAATCCCACATTGGCAGCTGGGTGGCTCAGCTGGTTAAGCGTCCAACTCCTGATCTCGGTTCAGGTTGTGATCTCATGGGATTGAGCCCCACCTGGGGCACTGTACTGAGTGTGGAGCCTGCTTGAGAGTCAGTCTCTCTCTTGCCCCACCCCCCAACAAAATACATAAAGTAAACTTAAAAAAAGATGAGAGAATCCCATGTCAGTCATAGCAGAGACTGACCAGGGGCTCACCAGCCTCATTTCCTCTCCATCCTGGGCACATCACTTAGAGTTTCTACTGCCCGGCCTCTCTTAATGTGGTGCATGACTGTGATTCCACCCCTGGGATGTGTCGAAGACAGGTACTTCCACGCCTAGGACAGGCAACCTCTCATTTCCCTCCATGTTTCACTTCCAGAGGGATTCCGAGGGCTTCAGAGATGAAGGAATCTCCAGTTGGAAAAAAACCCTAGATGGCTGGGTAGGACAGAACCGTCCTCCGCCCTCACGAATGTGCCGTGCTTAGCCAAGGGCAGGCTGTCCTAATACGTTAGCTGTCTGCACTAATAGAGTACTTGCATTATATTTTGCCTGGACATATATTTATGATGAACGCAGTAGCCTTACTTTTGCAGAGAGAAAGAAATGTGTCTAGCTTATCTGAGGGTTACCTACTGGACATCTTCAAGGAACGTCTTTTATGATCAGGAAACAAGCAAATGAAATATGTTATTTTTTTTTTTTAATTTTTTTTTTCAACATTTATTTATTTTTGGGACAGAGAGAGACAGAGCATGAACGGGGGAGGGGCAGAGAGAGAGGGAGACACAGAATCGGAAACAGGCTCCAGGCTCTGAGCCATCAGCCCAGAGCCTGACGCAGGGCTCGAACTCACGGACCGCGAGATCGTGACCTGGCTGAAGTCGGACGCTCAACCGACTGCGCCACCCAGGCGCCCCGAAATATGTTATTTTATATTCCCAAAAAAACTTCTTAAAATCAATCAAGCTGACTGAAATTAAAAAGAGAAAAGATTCAGGGCAATTGTAATTCTATCACACACCCGATGTAAGGTTTACACCGCACTCAGAGCTTCCTGGCAGCAAGGCAAAAAAGGAAGCATTCGGTCATTCAAGAACGTACTGGAGATTCGAGAATATGCTTGGTCCTAGAAATACAGAGATTCTGGGACTATACAGAGGAACAAGAAATGGACTTACCATCTTCACGTAAACTCTAAGCAAAATTATGGGGTAGTGACAGCTAGGCACGAAGGGCTTACACTTTGCCCTGTTGAACTTCCTTTCCAGTATTCTTTTCACCTTCCTCCTGCTACCATTTATACACTGCTGAGTCCTATTATACAAATGGTTGCTTAATTCAAGAGAAGCTTAGTATCTCATCATGCTCTCCCTTGCCCCTAAAAGAGTCTGTATCAGCACTTTCAAGGCCAAAAGAGCAACAGCCTAACCTTTTCGATGACAAAGTTCCTTTTTATAATTTTTCAATCTTAAAATATATTTATATTTCCTTTTTTATTATTATATTGGAAATGTTTTTCCCACGAAACTTCATTTTCAAGTAATAATTCACTTCTGGGCGATAAAATTAGAGTTATCACATGGAGTTGGTAAACTTCCACGTATAGCAGAAAACCCTGACTGTTTTAAGCAGCCCGTGCAGCCATCTTGTGGGCAAGGTTGGATTTCCAATAGGCTCTTTAAAATAACTAAAAATAACAAACAGAAGGACTTCTGTCATGAACCCCGTAGCTCCCAGGCAAAGCGGGTGAGGAGTCAAAGAAGCAAATCATAAATGATGGAATTTTAGGTACAAAGGACAGAAGGCAAAAAGGAAAGGAGAGAGGGAGGAAGACAGAAGGAGGGAGAAGGAAGGAAAGAAGGAAGGTAGTTGAAAACCTTTCAGTGTTTCCAGCAGCTCAGTTCGGACCAATAACCCTGATAGAGATGCTTTTTTACCTTTTCCCATATCCTTGATGGTGATGTGACAGTCAAATGCCGGTGACCTGTTGTCACCATCCCAGAGGTAGAAGGTAAAGCTGTCTCGGTTCTGGGAGTCCATCGCCCCGGTGTGTGTGTATCTCAGCAAGTTCAGATCGACGTCCTCCTGAGTGCACTTCATGCCAGGGTGGAGAGGGACCCAGTCCCTCCCTAGCTGAAAGGTGCCAGAGTTAGTCAGCCGCCCGTGGTGTTTTCCTTCCAAGCTGTGTTAGTGGACATTTTCCATGTCCCCTGTAAACCTCCAATATAAATGATATTTCAGGGAATCTCCAGATGCAATTTTTTTTTTTTTGCCATTTTACCTTATTTTTTTTCCTTTCAAAGAAATATATTAAAACAAATTAAGACCTTGGGGAAAGAACTACCTTCAACTAAAGGATTTTTGACAGTCGTGTGGCAATTCAACAGCAGTGCCACTTCCAAGGTATTTATCATAAGCAATCATAGCTGATTGAATATTCCAATGAATGAGAGCAGGTGGGTAATCGAGCTTCTGAAATTGATTCTTTAAAAATTAAATGTGTTTCATTTGAGGTTTCCTTTTTTTTTTTCCCTAGGTCCTATCATTGTACAATTAATCAAGCCTATTTTTTTTTTCAAACTTGTTTATCACTGGACTAATCTGAAATAGAAAAAAAAAAAATAGAATGGATGTATTTACTCCCAGTTAGCTTTCCCTAACAATAGCTCATAAAAGTTACCTGACATAATTCAAGAAAAATGTCATCTTACAAATTTACTCTACCATATTATCTCGTGCTTTTCCTTGTCTGGTTTAAGAGATTAAAATAAAAATGTGAAACCTTGTTTGTTTGTTTGTTTGTTTGTTTTTCTTTCCTTTGACACGTCATTCCACAGATTCTAAATTCCTAGCAAAAAAATGCTTTGTCCTGCCCTCCCTTCATTGTGTTACCCCTTCCCTTTCTATCCTATTTGATCAAGTTTCCTCCTCTTTAATATTTCTGCTCATCTGATGTTTCTACAGAGGTATGTTCTGTCCTAGTGCTCACTGGGTGAAAGTTAGTTATATTGTAACAATCAAGCTCATTATGTGTTTCCACCTAAGATCTGTTTGCAAGTTTCATTTTTTAAAACAGTCTCCTTGGAGTTTTAAACTGGACAGCCTGCAATTCTATTTAACTTTTCTCTCTTGTAATCTTTTCTGAGAAAGCAAATACAGAAGAAGATATCTTTTGCTATCTCCCATCTCCATACAATTCCCCATCTGCACTCCCAAATGCCAGCTTTGATTTGACGAAAATCTTTGCAAGCCCCCAAAGAGGAAGAGAGTCAGCCTTAAGGTGGGGCCAACTAAGGAAAGTCAACCAGAATAGAAGAACCCTTGAGAAAGTCCAGGAATCCTAGAGTCCTGGTCCCGGGTCTTAGAGAGACTTGGAACACCCCAAGGGAGCTGGGAGACTCCACGGTGCCGTACCGGGAACCTGGACCCATCTGGATTTTCACACACCCAAAACACTTCAGTTCCCATACTACCCAAATGTGTGAGCTCTCACTGAATTTCTGCTTCATTACTCTTTGAAATGAAATAAGGACACAGCTGTACCTCAATGTGAATCAGCGATTGCTCTTCATTCTGATTCTCTATGGTGCCTACAATCTAAGACAATCAAGCTGTCCCATGAAGAATGAATCCTCGCTGCTCTTCTAGGACTATTATAAGTTAAGCACTCAGTCAAATAATCACATTGGGGATGGTTGGTGGTTATTGTTGCTGGCTTTAATCCATCATTCAAATAAACATTTTGATGGATTACTCAAGTGACCTTTTCAAGTGACTGATCCATAATTTGTGTCGGGCTACTCCGTGGTTGTCATGCACACAGTCTGAATCAGACTGGGGAGCAGCGCCATTTGTTAAAAGAGTATCTTTTCTCTACTCTCTTGCCTCTGCTCCTTTGCCAAAGATCCGCTGACTGTATTTTTGGGAGGGTCTACTTCTGGACTCTCTATTCGGTTCCACTGATCTGTTTGTCTGTTCTTTCACCAAACCCACACTAACTGAATTAATGCAGCTTTATCATAAGTCTTGAAGTCAGGGAATGTGATTACTTTAATTGTGACTCCTTTTTGCTCACTATTTTGGGTATTTTGCCTCTCCATATGAACTTTAGAATCAGATTGTAAATATCCACAACAACAGCTCTTCAGAGTAGTCTACTAAAAACGTTTTTAATGTGGTGGGAATTAAGATATCTCAAAGGATGCCTGGCTCTCACCAGAAGTTAGACAATTTGATTTACCCCAGTAACCCCCTCTCCCAAAATTTAGGTACAATCCCAGGGGACAGGGAACAATAAAGAACCTTATCACTGGTTGAATATACCCTTAGTTGAGTAAAGAAAACTGAGTAGAGTGTGAGCTCACCCCAAACCAAGAAAATTAAATTCTCTACCTCTGGGCAAAAGATGGCTGTGAGAGAATAAATTCAGTTACAGAAATCTGTGTATTAAGAAAATTTATACCTGCCACATTAGTTTTGAAAAACAAAAGTAAAAAGGCCACTAACCTTAAGTTGAAGTTGCCCATTTTGGGGAAGCCTTTCAAATAAATAGTAAATCTTCTCCCTGGGTGAGTCTTCATCTATGGCCGAAAGAATGGCACTAGAAACAATTCGAGCTTCACCCATTTTCACTGTAAGTTCAGCCTTCCTGTAAAAAGGAAGATGTGGAGGTCGACAGGAAAATAGAAGGCATTGCTTTCACAGGGGTCATTCAGAAGGACTATTACGGTTCCCAATCTTCAACAATTGGGGGATGATGTTCCACATCCCACGTATGTGGACTCATCCAGCGATGAGTCGGACTTGTGAAACGGGCTCTCAATTCCCTTTACACTTGAACGTCCTAAAAAGACAATCAGTCGGCAACGAGGAAGATGGCATGAGGTAATTAAATCCTTCTAACGGTTAACCTGCATTGAACTTCACAACTTTATGTTGTAATTTCTCTTATAAAGTGGGTTGGTTTCCAATATTTCACCTGCTACCACAACAGCTTCAGGACCTAAGTAGCCAAGGTATTGTCATTCTAATTTCACCAACAGAAACTTACGTAAAGAGATTAAATGGCTTATCCACGGGTGTTCTGGTACCCTCTATGAAATACCAGTATGAGTTGGGGGACACTTGGGCCATCCACGGCCCTGGACATCACTCCCCCATCCCCTGGTGACGTGACGTTCTGAGTAGCTAGCTTTCTCTTCACAGCGACTGATCGTTTCCAAGTGCTCCAGCGGCCAGGTTAGCCCGTGGTGTCCTGAAGAGAAGGTGGCTGCTGCGTCCACCATAAATGCCTCTACTGTGGTTCTCAGGTCCTCTCTGGTGCTATTCCTTCCACGGCCGACATAGCCATTTGCCCCGGTCTCACCAAAGTGAGGAAGGGATTTCTTTCCACCTGTGTTTCTAGCTTTTGGCCAAACTCTGTCCAACTTGACAGATTGGTTTCCAATAAAAAACGGACGTTTCCTTGGGATGCAGATAAAGGACCAGCCGGCATTCCAACCGCCTTCTGCGTCCCTGCTGAGAAGCCAGAGCCCAGACACCTCACTTCTAACCACTCTTACTTGGTGCCTTTCTTACCCTCTCCAGGACTGACATCTTCCCTGGCAGTAGCAAGGGATTTTTACTCACCTCTTTCCTAGAGAATATTAATCCCATTACTCCTAGAAGCCTCACGAATCAGTTGATTGGTTGCTTATGGAGATTAGTGGTGCCATTGACAGAAACAGATTAATCAATGCAGGAAGGAAGCCAATGTGAAGAAGAAGGTAAGGAGTTTGGCAGGAAGAAAGTGTCAGAATTAAATGCCAGAGGGGCCAAAGGAGAAGAAATTATGTCATAGTCTGAGTTACCCTGAAAGGGAGTGTGGGACAAGGACTGCAGTGCAGGTAATTTATTTGGGAAGTGATCTCAGGAAGCAAGAGAAAGAGGCAAGGAGTGAGACAGGGCAGGAGGGAAAGGCAACAAAAGCTGTTTTTCCAGCAATGGGGCTCAGTGCTCCTGAGGGTCCTTTGAAGAATCATGTAGAATATGCTTCAAATTGTACTGCTGAAGGATGGAAGTGTGGGACATTTATTTCATCCACTAGCCCCCACAGGTTACGAGCTACCATCAGAGTGCTTTCAGCGGTGTCTGGACATGGGCGGAATGAGCCAGTGCTGCTTCGGAGAATCCCTGTGCGACACAGCAAGTGAGGTGACACACTGAGGGCACTTGTAAAGCAGCCCCGACAGTGTGTGTGGTACATTCTGCCACAAGAGCGACTATAATCAGAGTGGGGGGAGGGGCCGGGGGGGCCAAGAGAGCATGACCCAGAGAACCAAAAGTATCTACCACAGCATCTAAAAGGAATTACCAAAGAAATGGTGCCAAACGCTCTAACGAGGTCCAGCAAGGTAAGACGAGCCATTCGTTTCGTTGGGAAAGCCCAGGGTAACTTTTAAGGGAGCAGCTTTAATAAAGTGGGGGAGGTTGGGCAGAAATGGCCGAAGCAAGCACAAGCTGAATCCTCCAAATAGTTTGGCACTGAAATAAATGAGGAACTGGGTCATCTTCGCAGTTTTAGTTTTTTAGGATGAGAATACCTGCTTGCAATAATGGTAATAATTAACACTCAGGAGCATTCACTAGGTACTGGCCAGTCTTTCAAGTGCCTTTGCGTCTTTTAATTCACTTAAGCCTTGCTACAACCCTGTGGAAAGGATGCTGTTATCATCCCCACTTACAAAGAGGCTGACAAAGAGGCCAGGAGAGGTTAAGTGACAAGTTCGAGGCCACACAACTGGTCAGTGGCTGAACCAAGGCAGTCTGGCTGCAGAATCTGCTCTCTTAACCACTAACTACATCCCGTCCTTGTTAGCAGAAGGAACGGAAAGGGAGAGACTAACGACGTGAGAGAAAAAAAAAACGGAGCACATTCTGGGAGGAGGCAAAAGGTGATCCACCCAAGGATACACAAGGAAGGGAAAGAAGGGGGAATATAACTACCGCTCCACAGGAGAAAAGGAAAAAAGAAAAGAAAAGAAAGAAAAAGAAGGGACTGGGAAGAGAGTTGAAGGAGATTTGGCAATTCTGTAGATAGATGAACTATCCCAGGCAGTTTATCGGCAAGAACATAGCAGGAAATAGTAAGTCAGACAGAGGTGAGTGAGTGTCCTGTATTTTACTACTCTGGTCTCAGTTTTCTTAGTAAGGATAATGATACCTACTTCCCATAATTCTGGCGAGGATTTAAGGAAATACATTCTGTAAAAGGATCCAGTACAGTGTCTGTCACATAGTAAGCACTTAATAAACACTAGTTTTTATCTCTCTTTCTTCCTCTCAGATGCAGTGAGGTCATCAGACAGAGGATTCATATTACTGCAATACCCTTCATATTTTCACTTTTATAAATCAAGGTCATGCCAGTCCAACATTCCACCTATATAATAGAAAACGAAAATTTCTTCTGAATACTTTTAGTTAAACTCACGTCCGAGATGCAACCCTCCAAAAAACTATCATCAGTTTTTCCCAAAATGATTTTCAAGGACCTTACTGATGGCCCATGAAGGAATGGCAGGCTAGAGAAGGGACTTGTTTGAGGTCCTCATTTCTGCAAAGTGGAGGAGACTTTGGGGGTTTACACATTTTTAGGAAGTTATTCACTTCCCGCGAAAAGCTAGGACTGTCTACACAATGCCTCTCACTGCTGCACCGTTGAATACTGGGGTGAAGTGGTCAAAGAGGTCCCAAGAAGCAGACACTTCTCTGCATCCAGCCTTAGAGAAAGTTGAGCCTTCTAAAGTTTTACCCTTGTACAGTGCTGGTAATAAGAGAAATGACCAGAACTATAGAAATATAATTGATGAAGCCTCTGTACCCTATTTTCAAACTGATCAACTGCAGAGGGAGATACTGAGACAGTCTGCAATTAATATCAGCGCAGAATTCTTAAATGATCATTTAAGTGATCATTTTGATATCAGGTAGCAGGGGAGAGTTGATCCATATGGAACACAGGGGACTGGTGGATACTGAAATACCAAGATGATGATAGAAATGGCATGTATATATTTCCCTCAGCCACTCTTAGGTAAAAGTTTGGTCAATTTCACAGGGAGGCATGTCTGCAGTTAATATGACCACATTCTAGTTAAATCTACACATCTATTGCACTTTGGTATGTGTGTGCGCATGCAGGTGCATGTATATATACATGTGTTCAAATACTTGGTACACCGTTCATTCCATATTGTAGGTTCAGTCATTCTTAGTTATTTACAACTAAGTAGAACTTTTAGATGGAAATCAAATAATTAAAGGGTGTACCTAAGAATTGTTAGGGAGATGTTGTACTAACTAACATTTGCACTCATGGTTCTAGGTGTCTGAGTAGTTGGGACAAGTTGTGAAAGACAGGAGTTGTCAAAGACTCATTTCTGTCTGGAAGACACACATTACATTTGCACCTAATCTTCCAGACTTCAGAATTTTCTAGAGCATCTGAAAAGGATTCTTCAGGTAGCTTACTTGCTCAGCATTGGTTTCTCATCATTAACTGGGGTGATTTCTACTGAAATCGTTTTTAATATCTTATGTTTCCCATCTGACAACTGGATTGTAAAGTCATCAGCAAGGCTCTCTGAGTCATCGTGCACATACATCAACTTCATTCCTGGAAGAAGGGGAACGAGAGAGAAAGTAAATCTTATGATTAAGCCATTCTGAAACACACATAATCTCTTTTAATTTCCAAGGTATTGGTATCAGCAAGAGTTCATTAATCACTACACAGGGTGAAATTAAACTGCTTTATAAAGTAAGATTGCCCTCTTAGTTCATTAAAAAATTGTATTTAAATACTTTAGCATTTGATAAGGCTCTTATTTAGAAATCAGTGAGGAAAGGATATATTATTTAATAAACTGTATGAAAACAATGGTTTATTACTTGGAGGAAATTTTAGTTAGATACCTACCTCAAGCCAATAACCAAAATAAATTCTAGATGAATCAAAACTTAAATATAAAACTATTTTTTTAAAACCTACATAGAATTTATATGAAAATGCAAGAGACCAGAACAGCCAAAACAATCTTAAAAAAGGACAAAGTTGGAGACTCACATTTCCCATTTTCAAAACTTACTACAAAACTACAGTAATCAAGACAATGTGGAACTGTTATAGAATAGACGTATAGATTAATCTAATAGAGGAGAGTCCAGAAATGAGCTCATGCATTTACAATCAACTGAATCCCAGCAGGGGAACAAAACCTATTCAATGGGGAAAGAATAGTCTTTTCAATAAATGTTACTGGGACAACTGAACAGCCACAGGCAATAGAATGAAGTTGGATCCCTACCTCACACTACATACAAAAATTAGCTCAAAATAGATAATAGACCTAAATGTAAGAGCTAAACTAGAAAAACTGTTAGAAGAAAATATAACAATGAATCTTTGTGACTTTGAGTTAGGTAATGGTTTCTTAGATAAGATACCAAAAGCACAAGTGACCAAAACAAAACAAAACAAAAACAGTGGATAATTTAGATCTTAACAAAACTAAAAATTTGAGGCTAAAAATGATACTATCAAGGAAGCACAAAACAGCCCACAGAACCGGAGAAAATATTTACAAATCATATATCTGATAAGGGAGGGTCTAGTATTCCAAATATAATAAGAACTTTTACAACTCAATAATAAAAGACAACCCAATTACAAAATTGGCAAAGGATTTGAGTAGACATTTTTCCGAAGAAGATGTAAGAGTATACACAAATAGCCAACAAACTCATGAAAAGACGTTCAACGCTATCAACAATTAGGGCAATGAAATCAAAATCACAATGATGTACTATTTCACACCCACCAGGACGGCTATGATAAAAAGATAGACAATAACAAACGTTGGTGAGGATGCAGAGAAATCGGAACTCTAACATTACTGGTAGGAATATAAAATGATGCAGCTACTTTGGAAAACAGTTTGGCAGTTCCTCAGCATATTAAACACAGTTATCACATGACGCAGCAATTCCACTCCAGATACAAACCCAAGGGAAATGATAGTATCTATCCATACAAAAACTTATACATACATGAATGTTCACAGTCAAAAGTGAAAGTGACCCAAATACCCATCAACTGATGAATGGATCAAGTAAATGTGGCATGTCTATACAATGGAATATTATTTGACAATGAAAAGGAATGGAGTTGTTCTGACTTGTGCTACAATATGGACGAATCTTGAAAACATTATGTTAGATAAAAGAAACCAGTTACAAAAGATCATACATTCCATTTATATGGCTCCGACATGTCAGAATAGACAAAGCTATAGAGACAAAAAATAGGTTACTGGTTGCCAAGGGCTGAGGAAGAAAGGAGTGAGAATGACTGCTAATGAGTATGGTATTTCTTTTAGGAGATGATAAAGTGTTCTAAAATTGATCATGATGATGAATATACTAAGGACCTCTGAATTCTAAGCTTAATTAAATGGATAGATATTATGGCATGTGAATTAGATCTTATTTCTGAATGCCGAATGTCTTCCTATTATAAAAACAAAAGAAAGAAAATGTAAAGGAAAATAATGATAAATTTCACTACTTACGGTTTGTGATTTCTGTACTTAAAAAACATGAATTAAAAGGCAAATAAAATCTAGAAAAACTTGTCTGTAACGTGTGACAAAAATGTGACATATCAAATATTTAATGATCTCTTATAAGTTAATATAAATCAATGGAAAAATGGGCAAAGGACACTATCAAGCAGTTTCCAAAAGGTGAAACGTATATGGTTAATGGACATGAAACTATGGTAAATTATTCATAATCTGAGAATTTCAAAATAAGATCACGATAAGAGACTGTTATCAACTACCACATTTGCACAAGTTATTAAAACTATTCATTCTTGATTACGAAAATAGGCATGTTCGTGCGTATCATGCAACGGCAATTTTTTCCCTCAAAGTATTATAAATGCTCACCTCTTTTTACCAAATAATCTCACTATAAAATTTTATGCAAAAAAATTCTATGAGATGTGGACTGAGATTTATGTTACAAAAATAGACATCAGACATGTTTAGGTGTAGTTTGTAAATTCAAGAAATGAAAGGCTATCTGCATATTTAAAAATGGAAGATAGTAGGACAGTAAAGGAGAGGACAGTAAATCCATACAATGAAAAGCTGGAGTTATCACAAACCATGTTTTCAATTAACATTTGAAAAATAAGAAATTTAGGGGCACCTGGGCGGCTCAGTCAGTTAAGCGTCCAACTCTTGATTTCCACTCAGGTGATGATGTTACGGTTGATGAGATAGCGCCTCACATGGGGCTCTGCGCTCAAAGCACAGAGCCTGCTTGGGATTCTCTCGCTCCCTCTCTTTCTTTCTCCCTCTCCACTGCTCGTACTGTCCCTCCCTCCTCCTCCCTCCCTCCCTCTCTCTCTCTCTCAAAATAAACATTAAAATTTTTTTAAAATTTTAATTAAAGAAAATAAAAAGTCAAGGGCTTTTAAAAAATAAATAAATAAAAACTAAGAAGTTTCTCATAATTGATAAGAAAAAAACCTCAGATTACATAAGGCGGTAGCAGTCTTATAAGTTCTGTATGTTTGGGGTGGGGGATGTGTGTGAGAATATACTAAAGTTTAAACCAAATGTAGCCCTCGCTGAATCAAGAATAAAGATGAACATCCAGTCTCTGAGAAGGCCACCAAGCTTTTAACCAAAGGATTAATTCATGTAAACTGTTTTTATTTTTTCTTCAAAATCATTGCATAAGTGCGAACTTACACAATATGCCTACTTATTTAACCTAAGAATATAATAAATAATAATATTTAACCTAATTAGAAAACAGACTTTCTTGAGAGCAAAATTTGAATAATTACTTCTTTTCCTTTGTCTTAAATTTGAAAAAAACTATTGTCACAACATACTGTATTATTTGATACACATGGTTATTAACTCGGTCATATCATCAACTTAAGTGCCGGGAGTTCATTCTTTGCAATTGATAGAAACTAAGAAATATATGAATTAGCTTTTCAAGTTCCAATGTGACATTGAACAACTATTGCATAATAAACTTGGAGGCAGAGCACTTATCCTGGTTGGGGAAGGGAAAAATTCAGACAGAATAACTGTTGAACCGGCCCAGAGATGAAACCAGCACAGGAAGGGAAGAGTTTGGAGTCCTGGAGGGGGTGCTCCCTGGGGAGGTCAGAGGTAACCTGGTTCTGAAGGCACAGTGTTGGCTAGCCCAGCAAAGGGGGTTCAGGTTGGGGAAACAATATGTGAAGGCAGGAAGGAGAGTGAGAATAGGCAGTGATTCTAGAACCATCCTTTTCTCCAATATTCAAAAGTGTGTTTATATTCGGAAAATGGGATAAAATTGATTTTTTAGAAAGAGCAATTAAAAAATAATTCAGGCTGCTATTCCAACGTGTCATTTCCTTAAAGAACAAATTATCTCCACGGAGAATAATGAGTTATTATATGTGGTTCTATATTCGTTTCAAACATAGAAATTTTGGCAGACAAATCTCTTCAAATTTAGGTCCATGATCTCAGTAGTTTTAAAAAGGAATTTTTCATTATGACATGAAAAAGTTGGAGCTAAAATACCCCAAATCACAAGTATCATTTGTATTGATGCTCCCAAAGTGAAAGAAGACATTTTATTTCCTTTTCAACTACCCATTCTCTCTAGCCGAGGCTTCGTGCCCTACATTAATCCAGAGCCCAGAGAAAACCCTTGAGAGATAAATGAATACAGTAGTTGAAGGCCATTTCTTCACTTCTTATTCCTGTGAGTTATTATTATCTTTTCTGGGCTAAATTAGGAAATCAACAAGAACAAATGAAACGAAGTGGAACGTGATATACCATCCTTGAGAAGTTCCAAGGAAAAGCTGTGAATAAGTTCATGCCTCTGGCTGGGGTTGGCAGGCTGCTTATTTGGAGGAAACTCTTTGCTAAGCATCCCGTTGGTGAGGAAGCCATGGCGTGGTTTATGAGTGATGCTGAACAGCAAGGAGTCTTTGGGAACGTCTAGATCAGCAGCATTGATGATGGAGGTATCCAACTCTTTCCTCTGACCCTCACACACCTGAACAAAAACAAGTCAAAAGCTCAGGTGTGTAGAAATAAAATTTGTCTTTCTGCTAGGAAATTGCCCAAAAGAACTAATTTTAAGATACTCTATTGAAAAATTTCTACGAAATTTGTGTGTAATGAGTCCTAAAAAGAAATGGCTTGTTTAACATGACTTTGGAAGAAAAGAATACATTTATTAATCCTTCTCCGGTTTTCTCTGAAGACTTACTTCAAAGCATTTTATTCATTTCCATAAAGGACAGAGGATACACACACACACACACACACACACACACACACACACACACACACACAATTTTTCCCCGCATAATTCAAAGGTCAGGGAAAAAGCAATCAAAGGAATGTTTGCTTTCTGGAATTTACAGAGTTCAGTTGTAAAAGTAACTGTAGACCCTTCACCTTCAGAACCTAATCTGTTATTTTAACCTCCTGGACCTCGTTGCTTTCATATTTCTTAAGTTTCCGCTTTAGAAACAGTACAAGTATCAGCTATTCACACGGGAGGTGGGGGGCTAGGTTTCTAATTTTGGTCATTGTGGGAAGACCTTCTGTATTTCAATTGCAATCAACAACAATTGAGAAGGATGCTTCTGGAAGCATAATGGTGTTTATTTTAATTCTGGGTCCCTCATCTCTCCCCAATCCTCATGCCTCTAATTTTCCTGAACTCCCTCCCCCACACCCACCTCCCACTTCAGGTTTAATAATTCTTTAAGGACAAAGAGAACTGAATGTTTTTCATTTCAGGTGGGATCCAGCCATTTAGAACTTGACATGGTACTTAGCTGTCTTGATCTTTTTCCCATAGTGAGAATAAAGAGAAAAAAGAAATATTTGTTTCCTATTTTGAAATAAAGCAAGATATAAATAAGAAGAATGTATACATTTAACAGAAGTCTATCGGGAATCTGCGATGCACTGTGCTTCATGCTGTGAGGATATGAATATGCTAAAAAATTAAAGGTAGATGAGACTGCGAAGGCTGCTCCATCCATAATTATACTGCAAGGAAGAAAATATCTAGTGCTACTAAATATGGTTAAACAAGAAGTGTAAAAGGGTGGAGGAGACCAGGAATGTCTTCATGGCTGGGTGGGCATGTTAGCCATGAAGGATACATATGGTTTAGATTTGTGAAAATGTCCTTTCTCTTCAGCCTCTCTTACTGAAAGAGACTTCCTGCCACAAGTCTCCACGGCACTTGGATGAAGAAGAATCACTTGCCATTCTGATACTTGGGCTAAAATGATGCTGATTTTCTTGTATCTGGCCTTACATTATTTTATTTTATTTTTTATTTGATTTGATTTGATTATTTTAGAGAGAGAGAGGGAGAGAGAAAGAGACAGAATCTAAAGCAGGCTCCATGCTCAGTGTGGAGCCCAACGTGGGGCTCGATCCCATGACCCTGGGATTATGCCATGAGCCCAAATCAAGAGTTGGACACTCAACTGACTGAGCCACCCAGGCACCCCTGGTCTTACTTATTAAGGACTGAGATGGCATCCTAATTTAATGTGCAATGATATAATTATGAAATTATCTTTGATGATAAGTTGTGTTTTTCTCCAAGAATTTTAATAAAGCAACCTAAAATATGTTCTAATTACCCTTCTTCATAAGGCTTAAGACTCTTGGACTCACTATATGGCAACCTTTCTCATTTATAAAATGATAAATTACTTTACAACATGACTGAAAAATTCCATTGAAAACATTTGGGATTCTTTTTTGTACACTTCATTGACTGAGATTGTAAATAAAAGGTTTAGATCAATATACACAAAATGCAGAAGCTTACTTGCAGAGCAGTTTGAAATGGATTATAATATCTTAAACTAAAACCTCATTTTTTTTTTTGCAAGTTGCATCCTGACTTGATCAAGCTTGACTGTCTACAAGAGAAATACTTTTCCACAAGAAAGCAAAATAAATATGACTATTTTAAAAAATCACTTGGGGGTGCCTGGGTGGCTCAGTCGGTTAAGCGTCTAACTTCAGCTCCGGTCATGATCTCGCAGCCCGTGAGTTCGAGCCCTGTGTCGGGCTCTGTGCTGACAGCTCAGAGCCTGAAGCCTGCTTCGGATTCTGTGACTCCCTCTCTTTCTGCCCCTCTGCCTCTCACGCTCTGTCTCTCTCTGTCTCTCTCTCAAAAATAAACAAACATTAAAAAAAATTAAAAAAAAACAAAAACAAAATCACTTGAAGCTTAAAGCCAGCTTTGCCAATAACAATGGAGGTCTGTATTTGTTACTCTTCAACAGCTTCTCTAAGGAGTGCATAGGTAAGAAGCATGATTACTTTGGAGAAGAGCAAGGGACAATTTCCCAATGGCTTAATTATTTCAGAAACTCCAACCCTACATAGATACAAAACAGTAGAGTTAAGTACAGAAGGAATCATTTATACAGTTTTTCCTCTCTCTCATAATTACCGAAGTACTCTCCAGAGAAACCCATGTGCCAATAGAAGAGGAAGGGCAGGAGCTGGCTCTCAAATCTCATTGTGAGGGGACTCTCATATACTGTGAACAATCAGTAGAAAATTTATATCCATGGGGCACCTGGGTGGCTCCACTGGTTAAGCATCCAACTTTGGTTCAGGTCACGATCTCATGGTTTGTGATTTCGAGCCCCGCGTCGGGCTCTGTGCTTACAGCTCAGAGACTGGAGTCTGCTACGGATTCTGTGTCTCCCTCTCTCTCTGCCCCTCCCCAACTTGTGCTCTGTCTCTCTCTCTCAAAAATAAATAAATGTAAAAAAAAAAAGAAAATGCATATAAATAAAGACTTTTGCATTCAGAATTTGATAATTTTTAGTGACAAATAAGGCTAGATGATGGTTTCAAAATAGATCATATTTGCTTTGGGAAATGTCTGAAAAAAAGATGACAAACATAATAACAATAATACAAATGGCACCTGTTTACTAAAGGTCTAGTATGTGCCTGGCCACCTTGATCATCATGGCTACCCCTTAAGGATTTGATGCACATTTTGCAGATAAGGAAAGAGAAGCATAAAGAAAAATAACTTGTCCAGAACCCCACAACTAGTAAACAGCAACACCCAAGTTCGTCTTATTTCAAAGCCTGTGCTCATCCATTTAATCAAGATTTGCTATACGTATGTCTGAATTAAATAATCATATATAAACAATAGAATTGTTTTAAAAGATTATATGCTAATATGAAAAGTTTCCCAATATACATAGGTAGGGTTTTTTTTAAGTAGAGATTTGTAGGTATAATACGATCCCTGATTTATAAGTAAAACATATAGAAAAATTGCACATATATCATATATATATATATATATACATACATATATACATACACACATACATACACATCACTGGCCTGTGCACAAATTATTTTTGGGGGATTACTAAAAATGCAGTCAACGGGGAGTGGCTTTGGGTAGGGGCTGTTGAAGAGAGAGACTGTCATATTTCATTGTGTATATTTCTCAATATTCTAACTTGTATAACTATATATTTTTATTACCATGTTTTTAAAGACAAGAGGTGTTATCTGTGGAGTGATATCATGGCCATTTTAACTATATATCTGAATTTTTAAATAAAACTAACAAACATTTTCACATAAAAATATTTTTTAAACTACATAAAAAGCATGATTCAAATTATAGTTTTTTCATTTCATATACCTTTATAAATAGTTATATAAAAAGATGCCTTAATATATGTGAATTAAAAGTCCTTGTCATTACAGTATTAGTTTTTTGTTTTTTTTTAATTTTTTTTTCAACGTTTTTATTTATTTTTGGGACAGAGAGAGACAGAGCATGAACGGGGGAGGGGCAGAGAGAGAGGGAGACACAGAATCGGAAACAGGCTCCAGGCTCTGAGCCATCAGCCCAGAGCCTGACGCGGGGCTCGAACTCACGGACCGTGAGATCGTGACCTGGCTGAAGTCGGACGCTTAACCGACTGCGCCACCCAGGCGCCCCATTACAGTATTAGTTAAGA